GGTCTGTGTAAGACATAGACACTTCCTGACAATGTCACAAAGAGGCTGACTGCCTGGTTAACAAAATCAACTTGCTAATCATGTTGGAATGCTGGCTCTTCTCTGCATGTTGTATGCTTAGATAAAATCATTAAAATATAATATGTATTTTGATTATAGGGGGACGCTGGAGAAAATGGACTGAAGGGTGACACAGGAGAAAAGGTACACTGCTTATTAGCAGAGAAGAAAATCTGTGCTTTAGGCATACTTACAATATAATGAGCTAATGAAAATAATAATTTGATCAAAAGAAAAATGCATTTTAAGCTGACGGTTTTTTTAAAGATGAATGATTCAACTGAGTTCGTTTTTATAAACAGATGAAAAATGGTCACTGTTCTATCCAACTAAGCATAAGATTTCTGATTTTAAACAGCAGTAGTGTAGTACAGAATACATCAGCATGTTTCTAACTCTTTGCTGAAATTTGCATCATACAGGAACTTTGGTCACAGCCTGTCAGTTGGAATTAGGTCTGTTGAGTTGTAACCATTTCTGATATACCCTTTAATTTTTCCTCTTCTGTGTTTCCCTCAAAGAGAAGGGGCCAAACGAATAAGTACAAAAATCATGGTATTGTGATAGGTAATGTCCCTCCAAAATTGGCTGCTGGACAATCAGGAGTTGAAGATAAAAACACACTTTAAATATGTATTCCAAGTGACAGCAATAATAACCTCACTTGATACCCTGCTGGTTCATTGTTGCAAAGTACCAAGATGTTGTAGAAATCACTAAAGAATAGACTTTGTCAAAAATTTTATTTTCCTTAGTTTCATTTTAGCACATGTGAGACTTGTGCTGTATCACTGAAAAAAAAAAAATTAACATGGATTTTCAATGTGGTTTGCTTAAAAAAGTCATAGTCTTTAGCAGTCAGGGTAAAGCATGTGTTGCACAGGAGAAAGGGTCAGACATATTGATCTATTTTGGCCATCACTTTTGAATTCATATGCTTCTAAAAACATTTACTTTAGTGACTGCACTTCGGCAGAAACATAGAAATTTTTTCTTGTACCCTCACATATGTAATGCTTAACCACCTCACATCAGTTCAGTGCAAGGAGAAATTTATGATGGATTTATCAAGCTGGTAAGGAATGCGTGCAAATCCCTCAGGACCTTTGGATACAGTAAAACTACACTTTGAAGAGCACAAGGATTTTTTGGGGTATATTCTAAAGTCAGCAATTAAAAACAGACATCAGATTTAACAATAGTCAAGTTATTTGATTTTCGAACTTCATTTAAATAATACTTTATCTGCAGTCATGCTTATTAACCCAGATGAAAGTCTTAAGAACCTTAGTTAGTTATACAGTATATGCCAGTAACATAATCTTGATCCACTTTTATGTGGTTTAAGAATATAATCTGTTAGAAGTACGAGATTGTTGTTCAGGTAGATAGTTCTGCAGCAAGTAAATGGGAAGTTAATAATCTCTCTGGGAAACCTAGTGCTGCTTCACTTGTTGATTTTTTACTTTATCAACTCTGAGAGTGAACTTGCATCCACTAGAATGCCCATACTGCACTGTGTGCACATCTCCCTGTTTCTTCCCAAGTATAAAGTTTTAAATATTTCTATGTGAGCTTTCAGCAGTTTGGCAGTCTAAGTGGGACCAACTTGTGGAAAATATGGATCATCATGAGACTTCTGATATTGCTGTATCTGAAGAAATTTCAATAAACCTATTGACCTTCATAATGCAGAAGTCTCCCATCTCTTCTGGGTTTCATATGAGTTTCAGAGGTGGAGTGGTGACATGGAAATATATTCTGTTTGTTTGGAGTACATTGCTTTAACTATAACAGATTAGAATCCTCTGCATTAATTTTTGCAGAATTGTGACTTTGTTGATTTTCATTATTTTTCCTCCATTTTCCCTGCCTACAAGACAGTCTGCCACCCAGAAAAAAAAAACAAACAACAAAACAGTTCTTATAGTAGAGCTGCAGCTTAAAGTTCCCAATAGACAACTCTGCAAACAGCACTTTCTAGAGAGCTTAGGAGGTGGGTTTTGACAGATAATTTAGGAGTAAGTATTAAACTTGGTGTCATTATAGTACACTTGAGCTACTTAACAGGGTTTGTATTCTTTCCTGTTCTTCAGCATAGGAGAAGGTTTTTGCTCTACTCAGTTCTCAGGTGTTCAGCCACATACATGTACAGACCCTTCCTGCTCAGTAAACAGCATTAATTTTACATAAATAAATGCAGAGAACATTACAGTAGATCATAATGCTACACATATGCTTAAGAGATTTAATCCATAGTTCACAAAAATTAAAAGCATTTCTTTAAAGGCTTAAATAATGTTTCTGTGAGATAAACACTAAATTTTATTTATATGGTGAGAGAGAGAGATACCAGGTGACAACGGTTTCAGACTTGCTTTAGGAGCAGGTTCCTGTTTGTGCAATTAATGTAGTTTTGTTTTCTCAACCACTGTACCTAGTGACTCTCAGAAATGTGGACTTGGGTGCTTTATTCTTGACCTGAGACTTTAGAATTAAAGTGTCTTTGTTGAATTGTCCTACTTTGAAGACAGTCTTAATGCCAAACTTGATTTCTGTATTCTTCCACTGTAGCCTTGGTCCCTAGAAACTACCAAATATATTCCTTCTTTTCACGTGTTCACCTGCTAAATTTTCTTCATTCATGGACTGTTTGACTTATCAGTGAATTGAGAACATGCTGTACTGTAATTTTTTCTTTAATCTGATACTAATTTTTATTCTTGCATGAAGATGGCTTGTAACCATTTTGTGTCTTATCTTCTTCGTATCCATCATTACCCTTTAAAATGTTTAACTGGCTAATGTGTCTTACCAGTTGCTTTACCACTTCATAGCTATAAAAAGTCCTTGAGGCTTCCAGTTGTACATGCTTGTAAGGGATATTAGCAGTATCACTCATGCGTGTCTATCAAAATGAGGCAGCTCAGGTTTCCATGCATGTATCAGCCCTTCATAATACTGATTTTTTTGTTTTCTTCACACAAGAGCAAGCTACAGTAGCTGTTACTCCTGTTCTTTAAAGGACAATGAGCACGTAAACTGGTACCGTTTAATTTTTTAAGATAATACCAAAGAGACTCCATACCCAAACCAACTTTAAAGCAACGGCATTTACAGAATGCTTCCTGCAGCTTCACTGAAACATCAGGAATGGGTATCCCTATTTGTATTTTAGCACAAAGAATATTAAGCATTTATATTTTGCTTATGCATCTTCAAAGTACATTACAGTACTGACTTCTATTCTACCTATGTAAATCACTAGCAGGCTGTGGGGGAGCTTGATATTTCTGTTATATAGCAACTTGTTACTTCCAGCAAATGATGTACACTTATTTTGAATAAGGAAACAATTTTTCAAATTTATTTTCAAATATATAGTACTCTAGCCATCTTCAGTAGTATATAGTTTGACTAGAAAACCTTTCAGTATTTTTTTTTCTTTTTTCTTCAGCGTGTTGTTTAAGGAAAAGGAAACAACTAATTGAGTGTACAAGAATTTTAAGGATCCTGTGACAGTTGTAGAAAACTGGAAGCTAAAAGCTTCCTTGGCCCAGTCACTCACTGACCCTCTGTCCTTGTACTTATCACTGCCTATCAAATCCAGTCAACTCAGTGAAACACAGGCGAATCTTTTTGAATTCTAAATGCCTCCTCAGAACAGAGACCTTTCTTGAATATGTAAATTACCGTAGCTAACTCATCCTGTAAGGTATGGTACATCGCTGCATTGATCTATCAGTTTAAATGTATTTCCTCAGCTAAAGTGCTTAGGAAATAGAGCTATGACCAGCCCTGATGGAGATAAACTCATAAGTCACTGGGGCTTTTTTTGAAGGTGAGTCTTCATTAGCACAAAAAATTTTGTCAGTTGAGACCTGACACTTGCCATCTGTAGAATTAGGTCAAAATCATTGCTCATATTCTTTGCAAATAGCAGTAAATTATTTTTAATGTAGATCAGCAATTTAGAGATGTCAAAGTATGTCCCTTCTTCTGGCTTTGTGAAGTGCGTTTATACAAAATCTGCAATTACTATGTCTACGTTATTAGTTGTAAAATTTGAGGTTAACTGTTACACTGTTTGGGTGAGTGAAACTAAATCTCTCTGCATGATCTTGAAAACAATACTGTTCCTTTTCTGAGTCACACTGATTGAATTCATTAGTTAAATTCCTGTGTAGCTGCACGAAGAACAAGCAATCTTGCTGTATAGTTATTTTGCCATATAATGTTGCCATAGTCTTACATGATTTGTTATAAGTGTTTCCTGGAAAACTGTATATGTAATAAGTGTGATTATTTCTTGTGGATTTTGTATCAGGGTGACCCTGGTTCTTCTGCTGCAGGAATCAAGGTATGTGCTTGTAAAGCAGTTGTGAAGGTAGAAGAGGGGTGGTTGGTCCATGTTACTTTGCAGTGTCACAGACACTGTGGATATCATTAATGTTATGGTTTTCTACATCTTTATCTTTAATTCATTTATTCAGATCTCATCTTTCATCTGTTTCCTTTAGGGTGAACCTGGTGAATCCGGACGGCCTGGACAAAAGGTATTACTTGGAATTGTTCAGTTTTCCTTTTCTGTTGGATTTGTGATAAACAATGTTACATCAGTGTTACCCCTGGCCCCTGTACTCAGGGGTACAGCCCAAGGCTGTACAGTTTAGCTGGCCAAGGCCTGTACATATTTGGTGTTTGTTCATTTTGTATTTTAAAAAAAGCACAGGAATGATGATACTAATTAACATGAAAAGTGATATTAGACTAACCCACCTTCCCTTCTAGCCACAGCACACTTCTTGTATTGAAAGCTTATGCAGTTGCAGCTGGTGAGACTAACAAAGAATGGCTCTGTTCCTTCAGTGATCACAAGCTAACCCTGCATGTTTGACTGACTATTAACCTTCAGACTATGGTACATTATTACATCTCATTAGGAAGAAAATAAGTATTGACTAGAATCTTTTTTCACATGTACCTGTTAGGGAACAAAATAAGGATTGACTAGAATCCCTTTCATATATTCCTGTAAGGGGAATCAAACTGTCAGAGGCATGTGGTATGTTTGGAAGGACATAGACCAGGTAATGCTGCTCTGTTCTTCCTTCCAGTGGAAGAAATGCCCCTGAGTGCTGTGTGGCTGAGGCTGCTTCTGCAAGTAAAGGTTCTGCAGGAGTTATAATGACTCTGTGCTGCATGAGTCCATCTGAAGCTGGGGAATTTGCTCTTTGAATCCATAGTACATCAAACAGTAAATGCTGTGCATTCAGCTCCCTTTCATGAGAGTAGGAGGCAGGTCCTGCAGGGAGAGCAAAGACACAATGAGAAAACCAGATTTTTTGAATTGCAATATTTGGTTTCCCTTGAGAGCCATTGCCTCTTACCTCTTACAATATTGAAAATTAGCCACTGCTGCCAGAGTGGACCAGAGTCCAACTGCAAGTTCAGGTAGCAGATATTCCAGACAGACAATCAAGAACTAAAATTCTATATAATGGATGGCAGTACAACCGTTTCTAATACTCGAGGTCTTTTGGTGACTAAACAAAACCCCAAACCACATATAAATAAGAAATAAATAAGAAATTAAGTCTTTTGGTTTGAAAATTATAACTGTCATCAATTATAGGATACTAAACAAAGACTATTATGGTTGCAAATGCAGTTCTTTAGTAAAATACAGTTTTAATTAGGAGAGGTAATCAAAGTTGTTTAAAGCTGTCTAATCTACGGAGTCATTTAGTGTGTGCATTCTGCATTGCATGCTTTGCTTGGGTAATAAACCAGAAAATGCACTTAAGAGCCTATGGAGATTCATACTGTCATTAGATGGCTGCCATGGAGGCAAAACTAGCAGTGATTTATCAGCAGGCTCCTCAGTCTCAGTCCCTGGGCACTCAGGTTTGATCTCATTTAGGCAGCATGGATGAGTGAGGGGTACACAGTTCAAACTTTCTATAATCTCAGCTCCTTGTTCACACCAAGGGGGACTTAGTGTGTTCTTTCCATTCACTTCATAAGCTTCCACTATGCCATGTTCATGTCCCAGCCCAAACCAGCAGCTCCTATAATGTGCTTATGCAGCGTGCCTCCTCCAGACAGATGCCCCACGTCTGCTGCTCTGCACCCCTGCTTAGCAGGGACTTGTCACCCCACCAGAGATTGGGGGGGGCTCTTTTTCCAACTAGAGGCATGTCTCTGCCGTCTATGTCATCTGAATACTTTTCCCTCTTCCTGAATACTTGTCCCATTCCTATTTCCTTCCTGTATCTTCTTTTCTTCCTCTCCTTCTAGTTGTTCCTTATCCATCTTCTAAGGAGAGATATATATTGAGCTGCCCACCTGAATATTATTTACATGAAATGAAATGAGACAGTATTTTGGCAATCTGACAAGGCTGCTTTGTGCCATATTGTGTGATTGTGTGCAGAGGTGATAGGATGACCTGCAGTGCCAAACTGAGCATTATGAAATAGAGTTTGTATACAGCTTTGGTTTCTTTAAAAATAATTCTTCCCATAAATTGTACTCAGATTTTAGGAAGAGTCCAGAAAAGAAAATATTATGCGTTCATCTACAATACCATTTATAGTTAAGAAGTAGTGATTTATTTAATTGTGTTTCACATTGTTTAATGTATCTTTGAGGGGCATTTTAATTGTTTTAGATTGTGACTCTGAACTGGCTTTGCTGGATTCTTTCTGCTTGTTATGTGTGAGTCTGTGAGGCTTACCTCTGTCCCAAGACTAAATAATGACCTACCGCAGCAATACTATTATATTATCAGTTATAAATATTCAAATGCTGTGCTTAGAAGTGAAAAACAGTGTCTCCACAATTAGATGAGAAAAGTTCATGGTTGTAGTTTTGTATGTATGGCCACGCAAGAAATGTTTGGAGTTAACACTTTGTTAGTGCAATAGAGGCCTTTTAAAGGATTATTCTTTTGCAAGAGTGATAACCCATTTTCTGCTTTAGAAAGTGTTAGTGAACATACCAAAAAATATTAGTGTCTGTTGAAAATGGCATCCTAGCCTCTGTTCTTCTATCTGATTTTATATTTAATATTTTGAGACTGGAATCTTTCCTGTGCTTTTAGGCAATTTGAACAGTTAGAATTTTGGAGAAACTAAAATGCACAAAGAAGCTGTTATCAGATCCTTCTATACCACTTGAAAATCACTCCATTTGGTAAAGTGATTTACAGCCTGTCTATTGTGTCTTTCAGTTTGTGGCAGAATGTAATTTTGTTATGAGCATTTCAAGTCTATTCAATATTACTGCCTCAAAGAAGTGTTTTTGGGTACAGTAGTTTGATGAACATCTATCTTATGTATACATGTGTTTATATTTGTGTATGTGTACACGTGTTTATGTGAGTGTAGGAATGTATGTAAGCATGTTTTTACACAGACATGTAGGATATTTTAATAGCACAATCTGTATGAATCAACCCAAACCACAGAGTAGAAATCTGTATTTCTATAAAGCTCAGGAGTGTACAAAATCTGGGATATAGTTCAATTCATTATAAAGGTAAAAGTTGGCTTCAGAGTTCAAACCTAAGCTTCCAGAAAGTTCAGGGAATATTCAGATCCAAAGTACTGGTTAGAATCCACCTCTATATTAAAATAAAATCTCCAGCCTTTAAAATAATGATTTCTTCACATTTTATTGCTCTTTTTTTCCTCTTCATCATCTTTATTTCCCTGGACAACATTTTTCCATTTAGCTGATATCTCAAAATGACCATTTGTGAGAATGTTGTCATTCTTGTCTTAGACTAATTTCAACTTAATTTCAAAATTAATACATTCAGTTTTGAATACCTGTTAAAAAATTACCCTTGCAAATGCAGTTCTGTAGCTCTTTTAATTGCAATTTTAAATAAGCAAGGCTTTTCTGGGTAAAGCAGTAAAAGGTTACACTCCCACTGTCCTTCATGGCACCGTGTATATTCATAGATAAATAGCAAGCTCTGAAATGATGTTATGGATGGCTCCATAAAATTGATGGCCCAGTTATAATTATGCAGTCCTGCTTGAATCATGCAATTTAAACTAAGCTCTTCTGAATTGCTTTGTAGCTAAATCAGGCAGTTACACAGTACAATATCTAGCTCAGAGTTGGGAATGGAACAGAATTAAACATCTGTTGTAAGTATGGAACTTAAATGACAGTGTGTAAAATGAACCAGTGCTGCTTGTTTTCTTCCCTTTTGCTGAAGGCTAAGGAGAATTCATATTTGGCTTTCCTGACATGGATTTTCTGTCTGGATGTCATCTTCACATTCAAGGTTCCCTGAAGATACCTAAGTTTTTAACACAACTCTTACTCATTGTACATTTAAGACAGTCAGATATTTTGAAAATATCGGTCCTGCTGGAGCTGACCAGCAGTCATTCATGCTCTTTTATCTTCCTGCACAATTTACAGGGGTGTTCGCTGGATAGTGACCATAACTGAATAATGTCTGTAATATTATGTAATTTTCCCATGTAGGGTGAACCAGGTCTTCCTGGGCTTCCTGGACTCCCTGGAATAAAGGTAAATAAACTTTGTATCTGTTGTATTGGGGGGACATCACAAAGAGGGCAAACTGCAAGAATTTGGCTCAAATGGACTTACTGTACTTGTCTTACATCTTCTGAGTCTCTGGTATTAAACTAGGGGTTGGCATGGAAATGTTTCACATGGAAAATTGATTAAGTGTCTATGAGTAGGCAAACAGTGTATCTTACATTATAATGTGAGTAGAACATTGCATTCTAGGTTTGGGGTTTTTTTAAAATCTAAAATAGTAGAGGGTTTTATATTTTTTTTTTTATTTAATGGAAGAGTCTTGTCATCAAAGTTTTATTTGGTTTCCACTTTGATGTGTGCTTTCCAGTAGCAATAGTCTACTGAATTTACCAAGCCTCCAGCCAGAGAACTGCATTAATTATACACAGGATGTGGAGAACTGGTTCTGTCGACAAAAATACACTGTGCTCCATTACACAGCAGTGATTTCCACTGACAAGTCAAAATGTTTTAGTAAGACTCTTGTCAGTATAAGGTACAATCCCTGACCCAGTACCTGATTTAGTCTCTGGCTTCCAGTTTGTCTGGAATCTTTAGGCAAGTTGATTCAAAAGACACGTGGTTGGTTGAGTTCTACGTAGTTGCATTGGGAATTGCAGACACTTGCACAGTTTGAGCTGTAACTGTATAATTCTGCACAGAGCGAGTGAATTCACATATCCTGAGTGAGTACAGATTAGAATGATCGCTTTTCCTTTGTGGAAAAGACTGTTCTTTCAGAAAACAAAATCTTTGCATTCCAGCATGGGCCTGTGTATACCTCAAGGAGATAGTTTTTATAATTTCTCCCTCCCATAACAAGGAGGATAAGTCAGAGACTAAATTCTTGTCCATCGTGGTAGGGTTCAGGATTTATGTAATGGAATGTAATATTTGCAGTGGTTTTCTTAAGGGACCTGTGAATTGCCACAGCATTGAAGCATAATGTCCCTTCTGTGTTCCTAATGAATTATGGGAAGAATTGAATGTGCATATTAGAGTTTGTGTGTTGTAGCAGCTGAAAATACAGTTCCCAGGGAGGTTGTTCGTTTTCTGCAATACTGAATCCTATACTGACTAGGGAAGATCATGTAAGAAGAGAGTCTTGTGTGGTTAAACTATTTTTATAAGGACCTTTGGCAGCAATCCCTATTCTATTTACTTTAACTGTGAGCAAAGAGTAGCTCAGTTGAAGGTCATTGGGGCACTTGCCTGGGGCACTCATCCTGGGAACACATGCCAAAAGCAACTGGAGTTATGGCTGGTCTTTGGGGTTTCCATCTTCATGCAGACCTTGCATGTCCATGAGTTTAACCAATAAATAAAAAAGTCTACATCTGAGCATCTGCTCTGGGAAAATTATTTGTTGGCAGTAAGGCTGGCTCAGAGGGGCAGCTTTCAAAATCACCTGAAAGGCAAAAAGTGAAGTGAAAAATGGATGAAGTGTGGGATTTTTGCCCAGTGAAACTTGTTTCCGAATTCAGTGGGTACAGTGGAAAAACAGTGCAGTTGCCTACAGAGTAAAATGGAATCATTTGGTCAAATATTAATCATTTAGGGAAGTGCAGTCTTCTATTTAAAATCTAGTCCAGAGGGAAACTGGTGGTTTTCAGTGAAGAAATTTCATCTAGTGCAGTTCTGCGTTGAGGTGGCTGTCTGCACCATAGATGGTGACAAGCAAGCTAGTAGAATGTGCATAGGAGAGAGCAAAGCACATCTGGTCACATCAGGCTTACAGGGTGGGTGTTGTTCAATTCAAGGCATTCAACTCTATGTAATTAAGCAGTCTGTGGAAAAAAACCTGGATTTTTCTGTCACTGCAAGCTATGTCTGTGGCATGATAAGAAGTAGCAGAAACCAGAGAATGGCTGGAGTTAAGACAATGGACAATCCTCAGCAAAGAAAAAGTAGTATTTGCCCCCTTTTCTCACCCTCTGTTTTAGCTAAGATTTATGTCCCACCATGGGAAAATCATCACATCAATTTCCAAAAACAACATCAGCATTATCTTGTGGAGAAACAAAGTTCCAGGGAACTGGTGTTGATTGAAAGTTACTTTGAAATAGCAGTGACAGGATGAGAAATTTGAACATCCAGTTGTCTGGATTTGCAATCACTTGGTGCCATCATGTTGTTACCACACAAAACAGAGAGGAATCCTATTTGTAGCAGTACTTCCTTATGGTCTTTTTTTTTCCTTTTTTTCTCTTTTTTTTTTTCTGTTTTTCTTTTTTTCTCTCTCTCTTTTTTTTTTCCCCTGATCGATCCTTGTTGTTGATTACAGTATTTTCAAAGATTTCTCAGGACTTTATAAAACTCTCCAAGATAATGTCTTTGCTATTCTCTTAATAGTGATATGAAGTGATGGTATGTATAATGTGAAAGAAATAGTACAAACCTCTCCCAATGTTGTTACGACATCTAGGAACTTGTCACAATATGTAAGTTTCCATAAGGGAAGTTTTTCCTAGCAAACGGATGACAACATTCTTGTGAATTTGCGTGCCAGCCCAGTAGCTGTTGGCAGAGATTTTTCAGACTGTTTCCAAACTTTGTGAGAGGTAAAGTAGATCAAGATACAGGAATATTCTACACATAGAAGATTCCTGGATGTAGTTCTTAAATATTAAATAGTAAGTTCCCTTTTCTTTAAATCTCTTAGTTGAACTGAAATTTGCTGCCTTGTGAATTAATCTCTGTGGTAGCAGAGTGTATTATGAAATGTTTTAGGTAACTGTAAAAATACATAGCACTCTTTACACATGCTAAACCAACCTATGAAAACACAAATGCCATGCCAGGCAATGGACCATATCTGTCCAGCTACATNTTCTTCTTATGGTTGAAGAAGCTTCCCAAGACATTCACTCCAGTGTGCTTGAACATACATAAAGGATTAATAGATACTAATCACTGAGAAAGTTTCAGCTTCTTGTAATGCCATTTCAATTAATCAATCAATGTTTCTGGGAACCTGTTAGGACTTGGTTGAATGTGATACTGGAGTCTGAATGAGCAGCAACATTGGAGGGACATGCAAGTATCATATCTGAATTCAGAGTATGCAGCGGGGTCTTTTATTACTTACTTTTCTAGACCCATTCACTATGCACATGCGGATGTTTTGAGAGTTCTTCCTGTTCCTTTTTGATCTCTCCTTGTCAGTTGGTGCCATGGAGGAAACATAAGTGCGGTTAGTTGTCTCCAAGACAGTGAAGAGAAACGTTACTCAAGCACCTGTTGCTGTTTAGGAATGGCTGGAAACTTAATGAGCCCCTGAATGTGTTCCACCCTGTCACTTGGGAAGCAAGTAAGGCACCTAAACACAGAATATTAACTCATCGCTCTGCTATCCCCGAACTGATGCCAAGCAGACACAGAAGCCTGTCTGTGAAACACAAACTTCATATATCTGTTTTATCTCATAACTTTTGTGGGAAGATACATACAAAGCAGCACTTGCTTACTGTAATGTAATGCATACCCTTATTCATTCTAATGTCAGACATCTCTCAAATCCATTGCATTGCATTTTCTGGAATTTAGGCTGTACAGTTCTCAACTTCTTCACTGAGTGAGAAGCCTTCATAGAACACAAGCCTCTTCTCAGTAGCAACACTTTATGCAAGATCTAGATTTTCAGTGACATTCCTGGCATTTGTCCGTCAGTTTTTAAAACAGATACTGAACCAAAGCTTATGAGTGCATATAAATTTTTATTTTATCCTGTTTAAGCAAACAGAACTGCTGAATGATTTGTCATGGGAAAAGACAGGCTTCTTACCCCTTCTGCTTTTGAGAGGTAGGGAAAGCTTTCTGAATTTTAAAATCCAGTGGAACTGTCTGATTCAATAGACTTGCCAGTATGCAACATATTGTATCTTTCTGTACAATTACTTTGGGTTGAATTCCCTGGGGCTGTGCTTGAGCAAGGTTTCAGAAGAACCTGGATAGGGATATGGGAATTTGAATCAAGTTTATGTCCTTTTTCTTTTTGTGAGAGCAAAAACAGTTTTAATTTTCTTCTGTACTTAAATTTCTTTTTTTTTTTCTGTACCTACTCAGAGATCTTACCCTGTGACTTTCCTAATTCCATGCAAACACTGAAAGCCTCTCTGCTCCACAGAAATTATTTTTTAAGCTCTAGAAGAGTTATTACTACTTTCACCCAGTTAGTCCTGTTACAAAAGAGAACTTTCAGAGAAAATGAGAGACAGAATTTTCTAGCTGGATGCACAGAAGTTGATGTCCTGTTAAAACTCTTGTAGAAAAGAGAGCAACTGTTGTTGAAGCTTTTGTGTTTAGATATTACTCATAATCTGGCAGCAAAATTAAAGGAAATCTGAAGTAAATGGTAGCTCTAAGCATTTCGTTTTGGAGTCAATGCCATTCACCACCTACAGGAAAGTTCTGCAAATTCCCCTTTTCTCGCAGGAGTTCTTAGGAAGGCTGTGCACATTTACCTAATGCATTTTTTTCTTTTTGATATTTCCATTCTTCTTCCTGTTTTTCTTCCTTGTCAGTCACTGTTAACAGGAAACCTGCAGGGCCTGTCTCTCTCTCCATTTTCTCCAGTACTCAGATATTCTTGCCCAGGCTTCAGTTCATTTTTATCCAATAGGTCCCCATATTCAGAATTCTTTCTAGCCTGGACTCAGGAGCTGGAAAGGACCAGCTGACTTTGTGACACAGGCACCTCCAAATCCTGGATACAGAGATGTGCTGAACACATTAACTGCAGCAACTGGAATTTGAAGGAATTAATTTCTCTCTGATATGCACTTGCCTCAGCTGATATATATATATATATGGAAATACTAAAGTGTGAATGAATTTCCAACCTTTCATTACTCACATACAGTGTTCTTGAAAGTGGGTCATCTGCCTGAGCAGAGGGAAATGCGTAGTGTAGTATAGGTTAAATACTGAGTAGTAAACTATAAGAATGCATGTTTTGGGTGCAAATGGGAACTGATCTAAAAATA